TGGAGAACCTGGAGAGGGTCCAGAGGAGGCCACCCATATGGTTGAGGGCCTCTGTGGCCAGCCCTATGAGGAGAGGCTGAGGGACCTGAATCTCTTCAGTCTCCGCAAGAGGAGACTGAGGGGGGATCTTGTGGCTGCCTACAACCTTATCAGGGGCCAGCAGCAGGGACTCGGGGAAAGTCTGTTCACCAGGGCCCCCCTTGGAGTCACTAGGAACAATGGCTACAAGCTGAGGGAGGATAGGTTTAGGTTAGATATTAGGAAGAACTACTTCACTGTAAGGGTGGCCAGAGCCTGGAATAGGCTTCCCAGAGAGGTGGTGCTCTCACCTTCCCTGGAAATCTTCAAGAGGAGACTGGATAGGCACCTGGCTAGGGTCTTATGACCCCGCCCATCCCCAGTGCTCATTCCTGCCCATGACAGGGGGTTGGACTTGATGATCTGTCTAGGTCCCTTCTGACTCATTGATTCTATAATTCTATGATTCTGTGATAAACTCAAGTTATTGCACCACATTGATGGGGATGGAGAAGGGAACATCTGATTTCTTGGGCTCTATTCCTCACTTTCAGGTTTGTGCCTCTTAGAAAGTTACTGCAAGATATACTGTTTATGAGTTGAGGTCTTCTGTACGATCAATGTAAACTGGTTTCTCCTTCTTTTGATTGAGACAAGTTCAAGAAAAGATGTTCAAGCTGTCTGCAACATCTGTGAGCCCCATACACCCACAAAAGCAGAAAAACTACCACCTTTGCTTCTGCACCCCCAATTCTAAATTCCCTACCCTCTGGGGTTACCTGATGCATCAGAGACACTATTTAATCATGTTTGTTTGGGCAAAGGCAACTGCAAATCAAAGCAGCAATCACTGTGTGTTGTCAGTCTTGTACTTTCTTCAATGGGAGCAGTCACACAAAGCTCCACTTTCTTGCTCTACTTACAAATGGGGAGAAGCCCTTGGTAGGGAATTGCAGCAAGAGAATCCTTCTGTCAGAGGGTCTGAAGCTGAACAACATGGACCGCCTACAGCCAGCAGAAGTTTTTGCTATTAATGTTATTTAGCCCTCTGCCATACTTTACATATATTATGCAATTAACTGGTGAATTGCACAATAAATTTTGACCAGCTACACTATGTAAAATCATTACTAGCTACAGTGGTGACATGTAGGGGAAACACGGGGGGGGGGTGTACATGCACCCCCTGAGAGAGCCGGTGCACCCCCTGACTGGCCGCGCTCGCCACTTGGGTGATGAGCAGGGGGGCAGGTGGGAGCATCAGTGCCCCCCCCCGCAAGTGCTGGTGATTGCTGTAGCCGCTCTCAGAAGTGGCCAAAGCCACTTCTGGAAGCAGCTGCAGTGATCAGCTGTTGCAGGATCGGCCACAGGGGTTGCGACATCAGCCACAGAGGGACCCCCCCAGTTGGTAGGATCAGCTGCGGGGGGGCCCCCCAGGTTGGAGGGACAGGTTGTGGGGGGGTGGGGTATGTGTCCCCCTGACTAAGGCGGCACCAGTCACCCATTACTACCCATGAAAATGTCCACCCAGATATACAGAGAGCCAACTAGCTACCAAATTAGAGCTTGAAAATGTATAACAATTTTACAGCTGGTTTCTAGCCAGCTTGCATTTGAACATGCCAGAGGAAATGCTACAAGGACACATTGAAGGCATAGCTCAAGAAAACAAAAGCCAAGAATCATAGAAAATGAAGGTTGGATGGGACCTCAGCAGGTCATCTAGTCCAACCCGCTACTTCAAGTAAGACCATCTCCAGCTACCTCATCCCAGCCAAAGCTTTGTCTAGGCAGGTCTTAAAAGCTCTCCAAGGATGGAGATTTGACAACCTCTACGGCAGGGGCGGGCAATTATTTTGGGCAGAGGGCCACTTACCTAGTTTTGGCAAACTCTCAAGGGCTGCATGGGTAGCCCCGCCCCTTGACAGGTACCCCACCCCCTGGTCACCATCTTGTGACCAATGTCCCAATGTCTTGGGACCAATGTCCCAGGGCCAGCACCGGTGGGGCCCAAAGCAGGGCACAGGCCGGCAGGGGTCTGTGGAGCCAGGCTGGGCTGCACCAGCAGGGAGAGGGGGGAGATGGCCCAGCTCCATAAAGCCCCTGCTGGCTGGGACCCTGCGCTCCTGCCACCCTGCTCTGGACCCCACCGGCACTGACCCCAGGACACTGGTGTGGGCCCCGTGCTTCCGCTGGCTCCCACACCGCTCACTCCCAGTGCCCCCCCAACCCCGCAGTATAGGCGGGGGGCAGTGTGCAGCCCCAACCCCCTGCTCCCTGGCAGGGAAGGAGGTGGTGCTGAGTGCGCAGGAAAAGTGGCCCCTCCCCCGGCCCCATGGCCCGCACTCCCTGCTGCAGCCACTCACAGCCCAAACAGAGCTGTCCTGAGCAGGCACAGGCAGCCCCAAGCAGGCTGTGAGTGGCTGCAGTGTGGAGCATCGGGCACAGGGCAGGGTAGGGGCCACTTTTTCCCCGTGCTCAGCACCATCTCATAACCTGCCCCCGCTGCCAGCCTGGGCCCTGCCTCGGCTCTGGGCTCACCCATTGGGGCTGCGTGTAGCGCCAGCA